CCATTAGCATTAGCAGCAACGAGAAATGTTTGCAGCACTATCTGAGTGTGGAGAAACCCCAGTGTTCCAGTACGCTGCTGCCAGTTCCCATTTTGATGAGTTTGACCCAGAGCATTTAATGTTTCAGCATTGGTTCTGTGTCTCATAATGCCATTTACATAATAATCGCTCATTTGGTTCCCATTAAAATAATGGTACTTCTTCTGCAAACCACTGCTTGTAAAAAATCAAGCCACCCAGTTTTTCATTAGATTGTAATACAGGAAATAAATAGTCTGTCTGTAGGATGCACACTGTAATTCTCAAACAGAGAATAGGGGGCTTTTTTTCCCGTCTTGGACATACAAAATTCAGATCTCAGAAGCAGGAATGTGAAAGGTCTGTTAAGGGTTGCTGAATCTATCTCCTGCAAAAGCACAATGTGGTTACTCTCCAGTAGATGTTCCCCAGATACTATATTGATAAAAGGAGTGTCTACAGCTCTTCATAGTCAGAGCAGCAAGAATCCTCCTAAAATTTTAGAAGTGGTAGGCATAGCTCTTGCAGGTCGTCCCAGCACTGCTACCTTTCGAGGCAGCACAGAACAGTTCCTTGTATTATATATACCAGCACTTCGAAGAATTCAGTTTCAAATGCCTCAAACAATGGGGGTTTCACCGCTTCCTGTGGGAGCCTGCTCTGCAGCCTAACTCATTTCACCATCTGGACCGTTTTCCTGAGTGTCTGCCCGCTTTTAACTTTCTTTTAATTGTGCACCCACTATTTCTTCTTAAAGGTGGCTTGCCAAAAGTTTCTGTTGTGTGAAATTCATGTTACGTGGTGCTTTTTTATTTTTTATGAGGATCAAGAAAACCCTGAAAGATTGATGGCTTCTTCTCTTTGCTTTTTCTACCTCAGAAATATTAATAAGTAATTAATAACGTATTACTGCTTTTCTAGCTATTTATCTCAGTGATTTACAAGGAAGGTCAGCATTGTTGTACTCTTTTACAGATGGGAAAAACTGAAGCACAGGGCAGGAAACAACTTGCCCAGGATCATTCAAAGAGCCCATGGCAAGACCTGTATTTTTAACCAGGTCTTCACAATAGTGCCCTACTTTTTTTTCCACTCTTTTTTTTTTTTTTTTTTTTTTTTGGTTCAGTCCAGTTCCCTTTTGGCTTTGTTGAAGTACCCAAGAAGGACAAGCTTTCCATGAACTCTATTCAGAATTGTCATATTGTAACTGAAAGGTCAGCCTGTTGAATAATTGACAGTTACTGTCTTCTCAATGTGTTGGTTAAGCATCCTAATTAAGTACTGATAAATTAAACCAACAAAGCATTTTAACAGACTGATTTCAGTCCCTAGGGCCTCCGAGGTGAATTTCCTTCGGCTCTCCTGTGTTTTCCCAGTTGCGATTTGTCCAGATTGAACGCAGTATATATCAAGCACACTCTTATCAGTGCACTGCAGGGAGGTTTCCTTCCTCCTCAGTGCCACCATGCTTACTTCACCTGTCGTATTTCCCTTAGCTGTGGTTTTTGGTAAGCGTGTTTCTCAGAATCTGGATTGTTGCTGAATGATAAATCTTCCAATCTGTAACAATAACAGTGCAATCTGTACAGCACGATGCCCTGGGCAGAGGGCAGTACCCAGCCTAGCACTGAACAGGCTCACCTGGGTATCAGAAGCAGCCTGGCCTTAGCAGCACAGAGCTCTCCCGTGGCTGCTAGCAGGCAGGGTGATTCTCCTACCTGCCTTAAATCACCTGCCTATCTGGCCTGTCATTTCAGTGAGTATCTTTACTGGGACTACATCCACCTGAGCACATGGTAAGGTGAGTTTTGTTCCTCACCTCCCCGTGGGAATGGCCAGGGAAGGCAGCCACAGCTGTGTGCTCGCAGTTTGATCTGCAGGGGTCTTGTAAATGCCCCACACTGAACTGGCAGCACCCATCATGTGCGAGGTGCAGCACTCTGTACAGATCGAGAAATGTAAAATTAGAGCTCTGGGTAGGCCAGAGTTACATCTGAGGGATAGCACATAGATCTTCCTGGCTGCTGACCTCTTTCAAAGTATGCCATTAAGTGAAGTTCTTACCATCAGAGTTATTGCCCCCACTGCTCCTTCAGGCCACCTTTATTCCAGATAGCATTGAGCCAGCACCCGAGGATTTACCAAAAGCTGCAAGACTGCTGTAGGTCACTGAACACATTGTATTTGCTTTCAGATTGAGTTTCAGAAATTACCAGCGGTGTCATACTTACGCCTCCTGGCCATGTGAATAGAGGAAGCTAAGAAGCAACAATAGATTACATAAAGCAGGGAAATCCCCCTCAAACTTCTCCTGGACTATCTCAAACTGAAGTTGATTTGCATACATACACTACAAATAACTTTGCAATGGCTTCTAGCCCCATGGAAGGGTTACGTGTGCTTGCCTATAATCATTTAGGCCAGTTCCACCAGTTGAACCACTCAGAGAAAGTAAAAAGGACTGAATCAGAGCCTGTATAGAAATCTAAGCAGTTTTATGTAGCATCAGCTTACTTCAGGTAAGGATATAACTGGTTAATTCTATTCCACACAAAATCAATGGGAAGTGTTCAATACCTATTAGTAACTAGCACTTATTCTAGAAAACAGTGCTAAAAAGGTACGTTAAGATTTATAATTTGTGATTATGGATGGGTGGTATCTTTCTTCAGGTAAACTTGCAACTAAGCTTCCTACACAAACCCCGTTTGGTGGAAAATGAACCTTACTGGAAACCAGAAATAAGCTATAGTATCCTGGAGTTGAAACCTATGGCCAGCTGCTTTTCAAAATGTGAGACTCATTAGGCCTGAAATTCCTGGGCAATGCTGTTCAAAAAGCAGTGGTGTTAAACAGACTTCCAAAATTCCTGTGATTTTTTAAAACATCATGGTTTAACAGAAACAAACAAGTAAGCAAAAAAGAGATAGTATGTTGAAAATGCATATTTACTGGGTTATATCAGGCTCAAAAATGTAGTTGGCTAATATGACACTACAAAAACCTTTTACAGTATCTTTGATGATGCGCTAAGAATGACAACTTTTATAAGCCTAGTACATCATGACTATGGAATGCCTGAATTCTTCTCAAAGACAGATGGTGTTTTCTGTTCCCTTGCTGAGAGAGTGGATTTTTGGGGTGGGAGGAGAGGTTATTTGTTTGTTTGGTTGGTTGGTTTAATAGGATAAGGATATAAAGTTCCCAAAGGCTCCCTAAGAGCTGTTTCTTTGGAAAAATTTACTCACCTACTCCCTTCTATAGCTTTCTACTGAAACAAATCTCAGATACTTTTCCTGCCAGCCCTCTCCCAGAGCTAGGCAGAGCTTAGGCAACTGCACCGATTCTTTATGGTCTCCCAGTAAATTCACAGAAGGATTTTCTATACATTTTCTGGGCTGTCAAGCCAGCTCTACACTAAAATTAAGTATAGTTGGGTAGGGATATAATTTTAAACAATGCTGTAGATGCCTTGCAGTAAAAAACAAAGCTGTTTTAAACAGTCTTAGAGGTGCTTTTGTCGGTATAGCATATTTCCCTTGAGAAGTTCATCAAAGGTGTATTGGCAAAAGTGGGGTTTGTCCTACCTGCATTAGGGTTATCATCATCGGCAGTATAGTTATACCAGGACAGCTATATGAGCAACTCTTTTCTAGTGTAGTTGCTTTTCATATAGTTAACAAGGAGGGCTAGAGGTGAGGAAGAAAATTAAGACACATCGTCCCTTGACAACATGTGTAAGCCTTGTGTATCTTCTACAATATCACCTCTGTTAATAATGTCATTGCCTGTTGCAGTGGAATACCTTGCCTTTCACCCTCCTCCTTTCACCTTTATTGGCTTGCTTCAAAGCTTTGATACAGAACAGTAGGAATTGGCCCAGGTATGAACTGGCTGTTCTGCAGAGTCCTTTTGGCAGCTGAGGTCTCCCTGTGCTATGATGGAGCTTGTCTCAACAGGTCAGCTGTAGAGATGGGAAGAGAAGTACATATTTGAATAGGCCTGGGACACCTTGTAACACACTTAATAGCAGCAAACATGAGGACATGATATGATCTGGCTGATGATTCATTAGTACCTTGGATATTTTGGTCCTGATAAGTGTGTGTGTTTCTTCAGTTTGTGTTCTTTTCATGAGCTTGCAGGTTGATCAGGAAGGCTTTCGTTTTGTTTTTTTAATATCTCCTCTCAAACAAAAGTCCATTTTCTACACAAGGTTTCTAATCACAGTAATGTAATTTCCTGTATTTACATAGAAAACTTCATCCCAAAGCACTTTACAGCCTGGCATTGACGTGGGACTAAGATTAGAAGAGGAGCAGCACATACTGGTTAGGAAGCAGGCTCTGCCCTCAGCCCAGGTATTAGTAAAGCACATAGGGTGGAGCCATAATATTTTCTCTGAATCCAAGGCCACTTGCTAGTAGTTGGAAAATACATTGGTGTAAGTGTGCTCTGTTTAACTCTAGGAAATGTGTTTGAACTGTAGAAATTAAGCTGTGGTAGAGATTGTCGGTCCTCTTGTACAACCCATTCACTGTTCATAGGCACTGGCTACTAAAAAACAGTTTCATTGGAAAATTAGGGTGATGCAAAGGTCCTCAGCAAGTATATGCTGGTGTTTGTAGAGCTCCGCCAAAGGATGGTAGAGAGGCCTGGACTAGTCTGAGGTTTGGCTCCAGAGCATGAGAGTAGCATCAGGTACTTTGCCAGCCAGAATGAGAAGGAGAATCTGGACATCGGTAACTAGAAGGACTAGTAAAACTAGAACTAGAAGGTAACTAGCAGAAAGCGTACCGTTATGTCTAAGTCAATCCATTTTCAGCAAATCCGTGAAATCGGTTCATACTGAACTAGTTACCTTGAATTGTTTTGTGGATTAAATGGGTTTCCAAGTGGTTGCTCACTGGAGGAAAAGGTAACTTTGTGATCTCATTTTGACACATTGGCATTGAGATGACTGTCTGTATTGTGTGTTTCAGATGAAAAGGATCAAACAAATTTAACCTGGGAAGGAACCAATCCTGCCCTGCAGACCATACGAGTGAGGAACACTGCCTTGAAAGATACTTTACTCGATGCTGCTTTACCCAGCACTACTGGTGAGACTCTGAGAAATACATCCAATCTCTAGAAAGGACAAATGAAACCTCCACTAAGAAGTTAATGAATGACAGCATTGGTTTTCAAAAGTCTGGTGAAGCAGATAGTGAGCATTCTTCTTCATTTGTCTCTTTTAAGACTAACGTTAAAACCAAGTGCTGTTCTTTGTATGTGTGGGGCCATACTTAACTCTGAACTTATGAAAATTCTGTATTTTGGTCAGCTTAATTGAAGTGACATAGTAATAAAAGCCTCTGAACAACACATATGCTGCTGAAGGAGCATAGGCCACACATGCCTTCCTAATTCACCCCGTCTCCTCACCAATCTGGGGTCACCAACAGTCAAACACACGAGAGGGCTTGGTGTCCACAGCCCATAATGTAGTGAAATGTTTGCTTCTGCTTTTTAAGAGAAATGAGAAACCCACTCATTGGCTTGATTAAGAAGCAATACTTCAGTGAGCTCTTATTCCTGTAACTCACTTGAAAACCATCAGAGATGATGTAACAGCGTTGCTAATAGCCGGGGTCTGACAGTTCAGAATGGAAGAACAGGTGGCAATCCAAAAGGTGGGAAGATCTCTGTGTATTACAGCTGCTTGGCTTCCTCTGTCTTCAAAGCACTTTTAAAGTATTCACAGCACGACTGCAAACCACAGAGCTATTTACTCACCTTACAGACTTAGAGAATGTATGACTCGCTCAAGGCCGCGGAAGGCATCACTGGCTGCTGGGATTGGGATCGGGTTGTTCCCGGCTCTCAAGCCTCACATCCCTACGGGAAAGCCGTGAGCTCAGTTAGTGCCGACTGCTGCTGCACGGTCGCCGTTGGCCCGAGAGGCTGGTTCTGTCCTCTGCGGTCCCAGGGAAAGTCTGCCTTAGCAACCTCTTGGGGAGCAGAGTAACCCGTACAGAAATATGGGGGGTCTGGAGTACTGCTGAAGTGGCTGTAGGTAACACAGCAAGGGAATGAGCTGCAGTGGAGCCACCTGTGGCAGCGAGGCGAGCAGGTTGCAATCTCCAGTTTGCTGGGCTGTCTTTGGGTGATGAGAGAGCTGCTGGGGAGCACACGGCCCCAGTTAAAAAGTGCTGCCCACCCTTACCATGGCAGTGCAAGAGACTGAGAAGCTGATGGGGTGTGGAAGCCGATGTCGCATCACTCCCAGCCACCAGCAGGATGGCACGGAGAAGGCTGCTCTGCAGCTATCTAATTACATGCCTACTCACGCAGCTCTGGGCTGTCCTTTAGCAAGGAAGTTTCCATCACAACAAGGAAGCTATTCCATTTCAATAAGCAACTTTTAAAAGCTAATACATTTCACCTTGGGGAAGAGCAGTTCTCCAGCTTCAGTGTTACCAGTTTTGTGCTTTGAAGAGATCTTTGTAAAATTTAATTTTAATATTGTTTTAACTAAAGTTTAGATTTTTTTCTTGGCAGTGCTGCACTGCTGACCACTCAGTCAAACCCTGCTGAACTTGCTTGTAGCCATTTTATCTGGGTATCTTGTAAATATTTGGTAGAGCACTCAGACACAGGAGTCTTTTTTGCTCTTACAGTCACATGCCTGGTTCCAGGACCTTTCAGAAGCACAAAAGGCTGAAGGCAGGGAAAATTCCACTGAGATGCATTCAAGTCTCCAGGGAGCAACTGCACTCTGTTTAGACTAAAATTTCTCATTGCTTCTCCTTTTTTTAAAAAACGTGGAAGGATAGAGAGGGGAAGCTGGAGGGTAGGTTTTTATTATTATAAACACCAAAAGGCAAGCACTGTTTCACTTATTTCTCTCATATTGCGGGACCATTTGCCATTGGAGATGGAGATAAGCTCTTTAATGCTGTCTGCACTACCTGGGAAATTTCCATCCAAGTTCTAAAATGTTTTACAAACATTCATGAATTAAAGCTTAATCCCCCTTCTTCTCAGCCCCATGAAGCAAGTACTAAATACAGTTTAAAGACAGGGCTAATGAGACTAAAAAAGTTGTGCCTTGCCTGAAGTCATGTGGGTAGTGTGGCAACAGGACTCGGGTCTTTGAGTCCCAGCTTTCTACCTTACACCACTGACAACACACGTTCCCTCCCTTTTCAAGGCTTGCTGTACTTCCACTTCTGGGGCACAGTGAAAACATGCTGGCATCACACCTTGAGATAACCTTGTCTTTTCCCCCTTAGAACAGAGAGACTACTCACAGCTGCTCTCCCATGGGATTAAGGTGTTGAAAGATCAGAGCGGGGTGTGGGGTGCAGGGTGGAGGAGAAGCAAGTCACTGCTCTGTCTGCCTTGGGCATGTTCTGCCTCCACTGCTTCCAGTGGAGTTGGTGTACTATTGGGAGCAACCTCAAACATTTTTGTATGTGCTTCCATATAATATTCAGGCAGGACTGTGGTAAAAATACCATAATCAAAGAGAGAACTTGTCTGACAATAAAACTGGACAGATGAGCCAATAAGTCACTCCTGTATTGAATATATGTGATTTCATTATACTTCTGTATGTGACCTGCATGTCTTACTGCTTCTTATTATCAGAATCCTATAACTACTGCTGCAGCCATCTATTTCACCTTTTCGGAAGAGAGGGATAATCCATCAGCCAGTTCCTCTTCAGTGATATGAGTCAGGTTTTCACCAGGGGGATTAATGGTCAGTTGAAGAGAGTTGTTCCCAACAGGGCTGAGCAAAAAGCAATGTGCACATGAATCATGAAGTAGAAGAGAAGGAAACAAATCTATAGATGTAAAGGGTTTGAATTATTTCTTTTCGCTTTGCTTCCCTTGTCCACGCCGATCGATAACCGGACATGCAACAGCTGGAAATGTATTGGCAGTGGCTGGTGTAAGCGGGACCAAGAGCTGCTCCCACTGTGCAAAAAAACCTGAAAGTCAGTCAGCCCCCAAAACCAGATCAGTGTGTGCCAGCTATTCCAGTCCTTGCAGGTGAGAGATGCCAGGAGGAAAATCAGATCACAGTGCAGCAGCCTCCTCTTGTCTCTCCCGTGACCCTGCAGTGTACCTCGGCGCTGGTGCCTTTGGCCTCTTCACGCTGTTGCCTTCGATGACGAGGTGCCAGCGCTGGTCCTTGGGCACACTTCTTCTGTAGCACCCTTCCCTGCAGTGGATCCAGGCTCACTGCAGATGCTGTGCACAGTGCTCATTTCATTCCCCGCTGAAAGGCAGCCAGGCCTGAGGTGGAACATGGCAAGCGCTTCGCTTCGCCGCGCCTGGCAACTCCACACAGCTGCTGAAAACAAGCAGGGAAGAAAGCGGTGTACAAACGCAGGGGAATTTTCACATAGGCAGGATGTAATTAGCAGAGCTGGAATTCGGCCAGGACACTGGGGTTAAAACACTGGTTTGCAGGTAACACACTGGGATCTTTCATAATTCAAACACTCAGGATCTCCTGTTTCCATCTTACCTGGAAGATGTCAGAAGACCGTTCCCTACTTAATGTTCCTGGGCAGCTCTCGAACATCTGACAAAAAGGAAAAAGCATCTAATGGTGCTGCACCTTCAGTACTTCTCCACCAGCAACTGCCCACCATCAACAGCAGCTGAGAGGGTCACATCCTGACGGAGCTACAGCTGCATTGCAGTAGAACACCACAGCTGCCCCCATGCCTTGGCATTCACTTCACCCTTAACTCTCATTACTCAGTTTTCAGGCCCCAAAGCCCCACCAAACAGAAAGTGAAGATGATAAAATTAGGGCAGCCTCTCGCACATAAAACACGGGAGAGAGAATATTACCGTTAGGTTCTACCTCAACCTCATTCTCTGCCACTTGGAATAGTACCAAATGAGCATCGGGCAACAGAGTGTTAGATGAAGCACTTCTCCAGTGCAGATGAGTGAGCTTTTCCAACTGGCTGTGCTGGTAATACAGAGAGCATTAAAAGCTCGTGCCTCCTCCCTCCTCCCAGCAGAGAAATCACGTTCAAAACAGCAAAACATTTTTTCCCCTTCATGATCTCACTTTCCCTATAAGCAATATTTGTGTTTACTACGAGGATGTTGAATGTCCACAGAAGGTCAGGGAAGTCATTCACGAACCTCACGTGTGGAAAGTCCGCATGACATTTCTACCACAATGTGGCTCACAGTCTGAAATATAAATAATTGCAAACCTTTAATCTCTCCTCCGTCAGACCTGCAGACCGTGTACAGTTTGAAGGGCTGACTTCCTCCCTGTGGTGCAGTGCGTGCAAGCAAAACAAGGTGTTCCTGCTATCTGAGAAAGCATAATCTCTGCATCAGTAAGTCATAAAAAAGGGGCACTTCCTAAGCCTGTGAGGGCTCCCCATATCGGCTTTCGGTTTGTTTGGGTTTTTTGAATGTCCAGGCTGCCGTGCAAGTCCCCCTCTTTGTCAAGCGTTGCTTAATACAACCTCCGACCAAACTTGCTGAGAACACCTCAGTCAGTGAGATAACAAACCTGCAGACTGACTCGAACGGCAGAGTGATCTGGAGAGAGTAAAGTACAGGCAGCTGTGGGCAACAGGAAATCCAGCACTAATAAATAAAATGTCTTATAGCCAGAAAGGGGAAATAAACAGCAGCAGCATAAACTGAGAGGACAGAAGAGAGGAACACAGCATAACGGTGGCACGGGAATCGCTGCGTTACAGTGAGCTTATTTTTACAGAATGTTGTCCCGGTTTGTTATGTGTTCAGACTGCAAAAATAAAGTGGGGGAGTGGGACGACTGCTCAAAGAGAGGGTCTCTATCAGAAGAAGTTGTCAACAACCACTGTAATTAAGGAAGCAGCCAGAGCACACACAACCTGAACCGCCGCCAAAGTGAAATGAAAGCGTTTTTTGTTTGCAGCCGTAGCCCTGAAGGATAGTAAGAGATGGTTCTACCATGCCAAGTGAGGAGCTGCAGGGACACCATTTCTAGATGGCAAATGCCCTGCTCCCATCTTTCCAAAATTACATGCCATGGGGAGGCAGCAAGCTACTCTCTTCCTACATGCGCTTTCGAAGCACGTGCCCACACCCCCCGCCTGGCTGCAGCAGCCGCCTCGGGGGGCTGGCCAGCAGGCAGGTGAGCCCCCAACCACCACGGTAACGCTGGAGGGGGCACCGCCTGGGCTCTGCCCCCCAGCCTGGAGACTTGGTCCAGGCTGCCAAATCAGCAGCCCTTCATTTTCCCCCCTTGCACTCAGCCGTGGGTAGCGCCACGGCCCCACGGCGTTGCCGCCACCAGTGGGAGCTGCCGCATTCAGAAGAGCTGCACCCCACTCTCCCCCCCCCCCCCCGAGGGTGGCTGCATTTCGGAGGCTCGCCGGTGCCTCGGCGAGGAGGTTTGTGCACGGCGTGCCCAAACGGTGCCCTTCGTGCTCCTGGTAGCATCCTTCACCTGGCGCAGCCGCATGGCCTGCGCCCGTGCGGAGGCGGGCACTGGGGAGCGGCGGGCGGGCTGGCAGAGCCGAGGGGGTGGGCACGGACCTTCCCCGCCACGGGACAGCATCATGGGGCTTCCACCGGGGGCTGCCGAGACCTGTGTGCAGGTTCAAGCGAAGGGAAAGAAGTCATTCACAAATTGCATGCATATTTCTGGATTCATTCACTGAGTGGCGTTTCCCTTTCATCCTCCCCCCCGAGCCCTGTGCACATTGCTGGCATTCTCTCCCAATCCCATATAATAATTCCCAGGTCTCCGCAAGCCGCTGCCTGCCAGTGGAGCCCACGGTCACTGGACCGCCAGCCCGGTCACATGAAAAGTTACATGCAAAGGTTTAACACTTTCTCCTGACCCCAGCCCCATTCCCGTGAGTCCCCTGCAGTGTTTTCCTAATCGGGTCCCAGGGAAGCTTTGCGCCGGGCAGGGTGCTAAGAAGGTGGCTATTTAGCTGCAGCATTTCCAGAGTCTTTGAGCTCTCTCTTAAGCTGTAAATACAAGCAGTGGAGCCAGGTGAGTGTCTGACCAGGCTGCCATTTAGACCTGAAGAAAAAAAAAAAAAGAACTGCTGCTTTCCAACCAAATCCATATTGCTGTTACCCCACTTTCTCTAGCCCAACAGCTGTACTAATGGTTAATTGCTTCACCAGGGTATGGAAATCACTTCTTAAAGCCTGTATACGGAGTACACAGTAACGACCCAGTATAATTTTAACCTTCACTGGACATTGCCAGTATGTATTACTAGCAAATCAAAAAGAAAGTACAGTCCTTTCCCTAAAGCCTTCCATTACCAAATTCTAGATGATAGCGCAGGTATTTTAATACATCACACAACCTGTGAAAGTAACAAACTATTTTATTTTGCATCCCTCCTACCTGTGAGACATCAGAGAAAACACGTGCTTTGGAGAATCTCAAATGGAAGTGATTTTTTATCAAATATAGATGAAAAGCAAAAATGTTCAGAAGCTGTTTCTGATATATAGGCAGTGACAGTCATTTCCTTGCTATTGCTCTAACATGAGGGAGTGCAGGAATCTCACACAGAAACAGTTCTTGTTCTCCACCTGATGCTTCCATGTAGGATTTCACGCACGTGACAGAGTATGATTCATGAATTGCAGCTCGGCTTTGGGAAGCATGGGAATTGTGTCGGGCTCTCAGGGCCCACTGTTCACCTGCATTTCCCGTGGCCCACAGAAAGACATGCACTTCACCTTTGAGCCAAACAGTTGGATAATCAAACCGAGCATTTAGATTCAGTTTTGGTTCTTTTTTTTGGAGGGGAAGGGGCAGGCTGGTTATGAACTCCAACCTACATATGCATTTTTGTGGGTTTAAGTGGAAAGACCGTGGCAAAGTTTGCAGTTACAGTCTATTGTTCTGTTTTAAGCTCCATCACTACCAACATAACTTTCAAAAACAACAACAAATTACAGTATTTTTCAAATTCTCTGCTTTGCTCATGAATTCAAAAGTGTAAGCCTGTTCTGCTTGACTGTCTGGCTGTTTGATTGTTGCTTTATATTTTGTTACACTGTTTAATTCTTAATCGTAAGCCTCCAAAATCATGAAATCTGAGTTCTAGTCTCAGTTTCTACATTCTAAGTACTGAAAAGTGGCTTGTCTAACTTCCTAGTATATATGATGATTAACGTACTTTGCTTAAATTGTGTATTTCCGACTCAATCCAAACAGGAGACTTGAGAAATCCTGCTTCTCCCAGATACCTGAGTAATACAGGAATGACTTTTCTCACTGAAAAGCATTAACAAAATACATGCATGAATACTGGGGTTTAATCAGCTGGTGCTGCCTGTTGATTTAAAGGAAAAATGTATTTATCCCAGCAGGAAGGATTCAGACTACCAGTGAGAATGGAGATAGGTCTGAGCAGCCAGATGGTAACAGGTATGTAGAAGAAAATACGAGTCAGTGATGTCTGTGTTGGGATCTGCTGACATTGCCCACCCTGTTGCATGATGGCCAGGAGATCAGCGAGGAGGATTTTCCATTTCTGGAAGGTGCAGTGAAACAGGGGAGCCCAGTGATCACTGAATTGTCTTTCTTCCTAAGAGGTATCGTCTTCAGGATACCGCTTGACATTCATTCAGTCAAATATTTTGACAGTTTGAACAAACAAGCAGAAAATGGTTTTGATGTTTGGCCCCGGTGGGCCATCTGTGAAGAATAATAAGTAGCGCAACATGTGCCATGTCTCTTAAATACCCTTCCTTGCCAGAAACATATGTAGCATGTTTCCCAGGCTGTGGAAAGGGTTATTGTTCCCAATCCACCAAGTCACCTTTCTCCCTCCACACACCCCTCAGCATCCCCAGCCCCGCAGTGGGCTGGGGTGAAAGGAAACTTCCCTCTGAATTACTGTGTTGGTGCCTGTCCGGGGGGGCAGAGGGTGCCCGTGCACGCAGCACGTTATGTTGTGCATGTTTCTGAGAAGTATTTGCAGTCACGGCAGTGGCACGGGAGAGGAGGAGCGAGCCGAGGCAGTGCGTACGCGGGCCCGGAGGAGTCCTTGCCTGCGGTTCCGCTGCGGGTTGGAGAAGGGCGATGAGCATTTGGGTCAGAGCCCGTGGGGCAGCCCCGGCTGGGGTGGGAGGAGTCACGCTGCAAGGCCACCATGCTTGAACGTGGCCGCTTTTACAGTACCGCCCTGGGTACAAAGCCTACTTGTGTGGGGCACGTCCCGCCGTGCGTCACGCTTTGGTTGTCAGCGGCAGTCATGGGTTCCTGGGGGGGTGACACAATAACCCCTTTATGCTTAAGAGAATAGCGGGGGAATTGCGGGAGGCCGTTGGAAGCGCAGCGGTGAAGAAGGGGTTTGGCTTTGGTCCGTCCCTGAAGGTGAGGTGCCCAGGCAGTCGCTGGGCTGCCCCGGCGTGCTCAGAGGAGCCCGCGCGTAAAGCATCAGCGGAGGTGAAGGCGGGATTTTGGGGTTCCAGATGGGGGGAACACCCAAGGAAGATCCTGTGTTACCTCTGGTAACAACGTGATAAAACTGATGATTGAGGGTAGAGTTTTACAGCAGCTCACACTAAAGTCGGGGCTGCCACAGTCTCATCACACCCCCACTGCCTTTAACACCAGTGCAGCCACGCGGGGAATCGGCTCAAAGAGCTGATCTGGCTGGAAAATAAACTAGCTCTTTCTATTAAAAAAAAAAAAAAAAGAAAAAAGAAAAAAAAAAAAAGTATTTGTTTTACTAGAATGTCTCAAAGTTTCAATGAAAGAGAACTGGACAAATAAAAATACTAGGAATTTAAAACAGCCAAAACAGAAAGAAATTTAAAAAAAAATACTAATACGACATTTTAAAATAAAAGCTAGTTAAGTCTTTCTTACTGTATCCATCACTGTCTCCTTTGCCAGCCCCTCAGCCATCCACTCCACAAAGCAGTAAGCAATTCAGATATGCTAAGCAAAGCTGCTCTGAATATGGCTTTTAGCCTAAGAAGCCAAAGCCTTATCCAGTTCCCATGCTTTTGCATCAGGAAAGTTTCCTCCAACACTAATAGACATAAGATTGGATTGCAGAACAACCACGTAACTTTTGACCAAAAAGTGAAGCTTTTCTAAAGCACTGATAAAAGATTCGTGCAGAAGAACATGGAAACTGACTGGAGCAGTTGCATTGCTAAATACGTTTCAAGCAAACATAATTTTTGGACCCACACTCATTCTCACTAGTGATACGTGCTCTAAGGGGAAAATACAAACTAAACATTTTTTTTAAAGGAAAAAAGCATTTATAATTTCTTTGTTATGGATGTACAAAAAGACTCCCCCTCTGCTGCTGGGAAAACCAGTTCCTGCTCCATAAGCATTGAAGCATATCCTAATTTTTAGAAAGCATTTGTTAGGCAAAACAGGTTATTTTTTACGATGCTTTCTTTTTTTGCAATTGGAGTCTTTCTCTTGATGCCAGCTGCTTTAGTTGTAGGTATCTTCTGGGAGGTGGTGTCTGTCAGTAGGTCCCACGTGGGTGTCCCCTTGGCTATCTCTCATAGCCGCCCTTCTATAAATCACAGCATATTAAAAAAAAAGGGGATAACACTGACATGTGAACTAATCCCCACATCAAAGAGAGCAACTCTCCCTCCTCTAAACACCCGCCCCCCTCTTCTGCTGGGAAAAGTCTAATGCCTAGAAGGTGATTTACACAAAACTTCATCCCAGTTGTTAGGAAACTTGCAGTGCTGCTTACTTGCCAACTGCAGAAGAAACCTGGGAATCAGGGTAACCACAATAGCTAGCCTGCAGCTTCCAGCATTTGGCAATTCAGGAGAGAAAAAAAAAACAATTGGCTTGTTGCAGCAAACTTGTGTATATGTTGATTGCATGGCAGGATAGGCATGTATATAGACAGATGTAAACGTGACTGGTAATGTGGGTCTGTATGGGCACATATATATCTGCATGTGACTACAAGTACTTGTATAGGCACAGGAGTACCTGTCGTAACACATACACGAGCACACACAGATGCCTGCACAAGTATGTCTCTATCTCCTGGGAGCAAAAAGAGCCAACAGGAAATATATGTGAAAAACATAAGCCCATGTGGGCATACAACTGTGCATGAGGTGTCCTAGGCATAGAGAGGGCTAGCTATCTGTAGCATATGCTCTCTTAAAGTATTCAGTCCTGCTGTAGGCCTCTTTTTGAGCTAATGATTCAAATGCTAGGAATATATGAATAAGGGGAATACTTCTATTATAAGACAGGTGCAAATGCTCCCTGTGCACTGACTAAGCACACAAGATACTTCCAAATAATTGACTATCTCTGGAATGCAACTGAAGGGAGGAAAAAATACCTCTGTCTGGCTAAGTAACTCTTTTTCCAAATCAGCACTGTCTGTGCCTGTGCCAGGCACACTCCTTCAGAGGTACCAACAAAGCGTACATAGCATGGACAAAAATTATACTGGCAGTTCTGTGTTTGTAATTAAGAAGCAAAAATACTGACCCTATGTGAAATTAGTTGTATTAAAGTGCATATACCTCCACCAGCACCACTGCTTCTGGCTGATGAGTTCAGCTGTGCTTGCTGCTCTCCTCTCCTGCCACCCACACAGGGAGGCAGGGACGCCCCGGGGCAGTGTGCCCCCCCCCCCCCCCAGGTCATCCCTTGCCCCAGGCCACTGAGCCATGAGCACCTTGTCGCTGCCAAAAGACGCATGTGAGGATCACTGCCAGGGCAAGAGAGTGTACTGGAGTGGAGAACAGAGCTGGGTTTTTAAAAAAAGCTTCCTTTCTGTAGTTGTCGGTTGGTTGTAGTCCAGCTGCGTTCACGGACGCGCTTGGGTGTGATTGCACAAGAGCTGAAGGGTGGAAGCAAGTAGCCGGGGGCAGTGAGACACCAACCGAGGCAGCTCCCTTTGGTGGCAAGCGCTGGCTTAGAGCGTTGGTGAAAGTACAGCCTGGGGGCAGAGGGCCAGGCGTGCCATCTCCCACTCCACCGACACGGAGGGCACGGCGCGTTTGGGGAAAGGCAGAGACCAAAGCTTTTGTTGTTCCAGTTACACGCTCCCTCCACGGAGATGTGCAGCTCTGCGTGTGTCTGTGCCTGGCCCCCGCCCTCTGTCAAGTGGAGAGGATGTGAAAGAAACCCCAGTGGGGTTGCACCTTCACCTCCAGTACATGGAAAAACAAACACAACCATTCTCTTGTTTGTTGATTTAGTGCAGGGTGCTCCTTCCATTACAAAACCATTTCCCTGCAGGCAACAGGCTAAAACCTCTTTGCTTATTATTCTGCAAAAGAAAATGAGAGTTTCGGGATGAGTGCAATCTTCAAGCATCTCTTCTGTTGATAGACAGAGAGATTGAGAGGGCCCTCCCAGATACCTCTCAGCAAATGTGCCGTGCTTCCTTGTTGTGCATAACTTTTCATGTTTGCTAGCTCAGAAACATGTACACATATATCTCTCTTTCTCCTCTTCTTGAAATACAAATCTTAGTATGGGAGGGCTTTGTGCTTAAGACAGTTACGCATGTGTTTCATCGCAGGTATTTATATAGAGATGGCTCTGACCACTGACAGCTGCACCCAGAGCTGCAACTCACAGACCCCTCACTCCACACCCACATGTGTGATTTTCAGAGCCAAAACCCCAGACATGAACACTTCTGACCAAGGGGGAGGTTTCCTCCTGCTGCTCAGGTTGCTGCTTAGGTGTAAACACCAAGCCCACTTTTTGAACTGGCACAGCAAAGTTGGACTCTGGGTGTGAGATACATCCTTGTTCGAAGCAAACACATAGGAAACATAACACAAGTCTCTCCTAGCCTGTTTTTATTTATGAGGTGCACCCAGCAGCAGTTCCTGGTGCTGACTGGGACGAGTATGGATGAAAACTGCAGGAAGAGCAGCAAAGTTTATCTAGAGCTGGCACCAGTTTTGGTACTTGGCTGAATTAGCTGTTTCTGCTGAGTCCAGAGCTCTTTGTTTGTGCCACCACCACCATCCCCCAAAATAATCAAACTACTCTCAACACCTTTTTTTGTCAGTTAAAATCACCTCTCTGTCAGCTGGTCCTTTAGGTGGCAGTTCTTCTGGCTGACCTTTTAGGTGGCTGGCACTTTACCCTCCTCCCAAATCCAAATCAACTGCATTGAAATGGAATGAATTTACATTGTGGGGGAGAGGGTACCCCAGACAGTGTCAAAGGAAAAGCAGATCAAAAAGAGCTGCTCGTATTGGATATGTGGGCTGTCCTTTCAACTGCTTTGGGCAATGTCCTTTCAGCGCAAGAAAAGCTCGAAAGAATTTGGTTAATCTGTTGTTCAACAGAGTCTGTCATGGTGGGGCAGGGAACCCAGCCTGTCTGTAATGGCTGCGAGCTCCTTTGTCCTTTCCCAGCATTTCATATCCGTAGTGGCAGTAAGTTAATGGACTTGCACCTTGCTGGCCCAGCGCTGAGGGGCCCTCTCAGCCCAGTGACCCTTCCCTCCGGGTGCCCCCGGTGGCGATTTCAAAGAGTTTGGCGGTCAACTTGAGTCCCGAAGCAAGAGCTTCAGCATGTCTTCCCGTGGTAAATCTGAATGTAGACACTTAGGAGCAGCCTGACCCAGGCGAAGGTGAGGGGACGTGGGGGGATTTGTGTCCCACAGCCTCGCTGCTCAGTGCAACAGTGCAACTCTGAATATCCAGTAGAAACGGTGAGTAGCCCACAGGCCTGCTAGCCGAGATACCACAACATCAGAAATAGCTCTGGCAGGTTGAGAGGTCAACAGTAAAAATAAATCTATAGATTGTCGGAATAGTAGGAGTGCTTACACAGTGTGGTTACACAAGTTTGAACAAGGCCAGAAGGTGAGGAATAACGCTCTGCATTGGGCAGCCTGCAAGGTTGTGAATTGTGAGGACCTCGGTTGGATACAACATGACAACTCCCATCAGAGCCATTCCTCCCTTCTCTGAATCAGCCGTAGACATTCGCACTGGCAGGGAGGGGTTACTGCCACCAGAGCACCATAGCATGCTCAGGGGGTTGGGCTTTTTTGAAGTCTCCCACCTCATCTTTTTTTCTACATTATGTTCTACTATGACCATAACATCCTGCTTAGGATCGTGTGGCACATGCTTTGCTTGCAACAGCTTGCTGTTCCCTTCTTTGACCGTAGAGGCTGTGCATGTGTTGTACATATGTGTGTGTATGTATGTGTATATTTCTAATTTAAAAAAAAAAAAAAAAAATCTTCACCTGATGAAAATTTCCAATTCTGTAAATTCTTATTTCGTTGCCTTCCTTGTCCGTTGCTTTTCAGCTTGGCAGCGTGCTCTAAGTAACGGGTTAATTCCCCTCTTCATGACTCATTTCTGAGGTCTCCCAGGCAGGATTCAGTATGATGGTGTCAGCGGCTGCTGCAAGAGCTGGTTAAATGTCTCCACACGTACCAGGGAGCAAAGTGCTGATTCTGGGCAGCGGCGCTAGGAATGTCAGAGTTTGTTTAACATTTGCTGGGGATCTTCCTAAAAAGTCAGTGTGCCTCCCTAAGGTTTTGTGGACTGGCTGAGCATTACCGTGCAGTTGGTTCAGCTTTTATTTTAGTTCATGAGGAGCATTGCCCTGTGAAAGGGAACCTTCTGTTTTTGGTTTAATGGCAGACTGTGTCACTGTAATTTGATTTTAAATTATCTACTGTCAAGCCTTTCACAAGCGAATCCAACACATATGCATTTTCTCCATAACAAATTTAACTGTCTGGAGAAACAAAGGTTGATAATTAAGCTCACAGCAGTTTATCAGGATGGGGCCTAGGCATGGCCTAAAACCTCAACAAGTTAGTGCCTTAATTTCTGGCTACTTACCAAAAACAAACCTTCGACTTGGTGCATCTTGCCCATTCTGGATAATCTGGCTGTCTGAGTCCCCGGGTAGGCTGCTGGGCTCTACTGCAGCGAGTCGGCACCTCGGTGCGCGAGGGGGGAATGCCGAACGAGCAGACACCACTCTGGGATAACCAGTCATGCTGAGCCAAACGCATAATTCAGCAAGATTATGGTTAAATCAGGGAGGTATATTTCTCTCCAGCCAATGCATGAGATCCCACCACCTTTTGTACTTTGAAATGCTGTTAATTAATATTTATCAGATGTAAAATACAACACTAGCTGCTTCATATAGTATGCCCCTAAGCATCGTATTACTATTCCTTTCTAAGCACACGCTACAGCCAGGCAGACTGAGGCAGGTGATTGCAAATGTCATCAACAGCAAACAGCCCTCAGCTGGAGGCCAGCTTTTAAAATCCACCCAGGCTTTAAATGGGCCGTTAGCAGAAGGCCAGGGGCAGCCACCTTACCCGCAGCTGCTTACCTAGTCTGGTGGTTTAAGAAACAAAAATAATCACCTAGTGACTTTTTTTCGGATGGCATCTCAGCTCCCAACTCGCGCGGGAGTTTGGGAAGCACCTGTGCTCCTCTCTCCCCACCATGGCCCGCTTCTGTGTTAGTGCTTAGCCGCCCACGAGGAGGTGTGCTGGGGCAGGCGTGCCGTGCCGTGCCGTGCCGTGCCGTGCCCGGGGAGCGTGGGCACCCTCGCTCCTCGCTGATGGGGTGCACGTGGGACGCCTCACACCGACCCCCAACTGCACTCGCTGCCACCGAGAGGCAAATGGGCGGGGGGTAAGTCCAATGCGTTTGACAGCGCTGGTACCTTGAGACCGCTGCGGCAGGCTCCCGAGCCCGCAGCCTCTGGATAACTTCCACCCCAAATGTATGTCACATTTCCTTCCAGCGAAAGCAAAATATTTACATTAAGCCAGGGTCACCCATCGGCCACTCCGCTATCGCAAGCTGGAGGCGGCTGCGATACTGTAAACCGAGGGGTGTGAGGGTGGAGGGGATTACCGCAGGCCTCCAAAATAAACGCTGTGGCTGGCTGGCGGCCACTGCTGTGAGCAGTGGGCACCGGGAGCTGGGTGCTGGGTGGACGCTCTCGTGGCGGGGCACGGACGGGCTGGCAGCTGCCCGGCCAAGCTGAGAGCTCGGAGAGAGCGAGGCTGGGGTGGCGGAGGTGGGGCCGGGGCCGGGGAAGGGGGAAGGCAGATTTGCGGAGCCTGGACAGATGTGTCCGGCATCCCCCACCAGTCCCCGCGCAGCCCCAGCACGCTCGGTATCTGAGGTTGTGGCAACACAAATCCCACTTCTTTACCTGCCTTCAAGGAGCTGTTGGAAAGACTCCTCCTGTTCTGCAGGAGTGTTTTGGGCACAGTTAAACCATCCTGGAAGTTGCTGGCCTAGACTTGCCCTATGAAAATGCACTGAATTCAGTGATTTAAACCCACAAGCTCGAACTACAGGACTTGCAGCCCCTGTATTCCCAGACACTCAATAGAAAGGGTGGCGGTTTCCCACTGTAGTAGCTTTTACACAAAAGATCTTCCTGAGACAGCTCCTCCTCACAGCCTGAATCTCTCCCATATGCTGACAACATTTTTTTCTTTATCTCCTATTGCATTGCTGATCAGCACCCGAAACCTCT